AAATCACCCAAAACATGCCTTACATAGTCTTTTAGCCAAAACATGCCTTACTATAGCCTAAATAGTCTTTTAGTTTTTGATCAAAAATTTTTTTTTGGTCAAATTATAATACATTTTGACAAAAGCTTTTGTAAAATTATTCTTCAAAATTTTTTACTTTTCTGCATGTATCTCATCAAAACATAGCGTTTTGAAAAAAATTAAAAGCTTTTTTTTTAGATTCATAGAACTTTTTTGGTCAGATGTTGGAAAATTTTGATTTTCAATTTTATCAAAATTTTTACCTTTTGTGTATGTTCCCACTTCCTTAACCACAAAGCCAGCACTGCCCCAATAATGAGAGAAGATGAAAACGGTGTCACAATTTTAAATTTATTTAGGAATGCACAAAATATTTGGATCATGTATACCTCAATCTTCAATTTTACAAATATTAGAAACAAATTTCAGAATACTATTTTCACAATGTAAAAAATTCAAACATTAGCAATGATATGGTTTTGCAATGTAAAGCACCTCACTGTAACGCCATTACAACCTGACACAGTTACACTGAACCCCACTGACATTTGGCAAATGATTGTGCTGATGTATACAACAGTTCTCATAGAAAATCTGACCCATTATATCTGAGTGATACCAGACTGGAAAATATTTAGCAGATTAATTCCTACATCATCTTGATATGCTACCAAAATAAATGCCTTTATCTTAAGATAAAGTGGTCCATTATGTAACAACTGTTTTATTAATTTTTTTCATGTATATCTGTAAATAAAGCATGTAAATCTATAATAAACACTACATGATGGCATTTCTAGACAGACTTTGCACCTGGGCACTGCATGGATACAAACTTTGGAGACTGTGGAGTTTGGTGGAAACGTTTAACGCCTTAACTGTAAAAAAGGCACAGCAGCAGGTGAGCTCACAGATTAAATACAGATTAACATCTGAACAAATGTATGGGCCATGCGCAAAATGTGCTTTTAACTTTTACAGAGTGGAGATACAATATACCACACTGATTAATTTTAGTCATCAGATGCATATACATTACAAATATATCGAATATTTTTACCACTGGTTTCCTTTAAGTGCTCTTTTTTGAGCCATGGGGTTTAAATGAAAAACATAGCAGATTTTTTATACAGATCTCAAAAATCAATAATTTGCTCTCCTTGTCCTTTGAGATAATTTTCTTCAAACAGTTATTGTAACACTTGTGCTATTACACATCTGGGTAAAGATTTCAGCCTTAGAAATAAAACAAGCAGGCCCAATCAATCGTATTCTGTACAACACTGACATAATGCACTTTTCTTACCAATAAAGACTGATGGAAAGACATGCTGTAGGGTGCTGCACTGATTATACATTTTTTGTAGCTATCAGAGCCCTAGCTTGTTCCTAGTTTTGCGATCAGTTCATCACAGATCTTGGTCAGCTCCTCAATCTCTTGATTCTGTGAAAAATAATAAATAAATAAAGATAAATAAATTCGAACAACATCCCCTAGCGTTCACATGAAACACATGAATATGTCTAGGCCTTAATAAGTATGTTGTCTGGTTAGAAATCCAGTATCTACTGAAAAGAGAATTGAAAATTTTAAATCTGTAAAAATTGAAATTTTAATTAAGAAAACTTTAACTCAAATAAGATAAAAGGAGTAAAAAGAAACACTTAAAAAAGACTGTAAAAATACACAGGTTTATTGACTCAGTGTCTTGTGAACAGTGCTAGGAATAATAGCATTGTATAACAGTGCTACTAACAAAATTATTATATTCAGTAATTAGGTAATCTAACTAATTACTATTTTTATTTACGGTTTATTACTTGACTTTAAGCCATAGCAGCTATGTTTCTTTTTATTCATTTTTGAGATGCATTCTTTTATCTTTTTTGGGAACTTATTAGTATAGTATTTTACTGTGATTAAAAGTTGGCGTACCATAAAAGTGTATATTTTCTGAATTTTAACAACAGGAATG